CCTGGACCCGCTGACCAGCTCTGCGGCCTCGGACTCGTTACTTAACCTCTGCAGCCACTGTCTCTTTTTGAAGGTGAAGGGGCTTCTGGGAAAACCCTCAACAAGAAACCAGGCTCGGAGGAGGACTTCAGTAAGTGTTTGCTGTTGTGATTAACAGCAAAAATGAGAAACAAATGTCCCCCAATAAAGCATCGGTCAAAAAGTGGGGCACAGCCATATGGCTGCATATTATGCAATTGCTAAAACGTTTTCTTAGAAATTGTTTAAAACATTGTAAAAGGATCATAAGTAAAAAAAAACAAACCTGGATGTTCAAATGGATAGTAAAATGTTTAGTGTAAGGTCCCAACTTTATGGTGGAAATAGATGCCTATTTTTAAAAGGCTGAGGAGAAATTTAATGAAAGGTAAAGTGATAACAGCTATGTAACAGGATTCAAGCCTTCACGCTGTTTCTCTCCTTCCTGGTCTCCTGCACTGACGGTGGGTCACTTTATAGCCAGGAGAGGGGTCAGTGTGTGCTCGGACGGAGCAGCGCTGGCAATAAGAAAGGAGTGAGCTCAGCATTCGGTCCTGCCTGCTCTGGAAGCTGCAGCTGCACCTTCTCAGCAAGGCGACCTTCCCAGAGAAGTATTGATTTCCTCTGGTTCAAAGTCAGGCTGTCAGGTCCTCCCGGCCACCCTCAGGGACCCGGAGACAGTGCTCAGAGAACTGGCTCCATGTCTCTGCCTTCTGCAGGGACTGCAGGCTCCCAGCCCCACAAACACAGGAAGGGAAGCCACTGTCCCAGGCTCAGGGAACTCAGAGCTGGTCAGGAGGCAGACCAGGAAACAGTGTGAACTGTGTGATGGAAATCACAGGAGGGGGAGTGGCCAATGAGGGCCTGGCCAGCGGGAGGCAGGGAGGGAGAGGGTGGTCAGGGCCTGGCCTGCGGGAGGCGGGAGGGAGAGGGTGGTCAGGGCCAGGCTCCTGGGCTCCTGGGCTCTGAGAGCAAATGCAGAGGCAGAAATGTGTGAACACCCCCGGCCTGAGACAGGAGCTGAGAGCCATTCCCTGTGACTGCTGACGCTGCATAAGGTCATGGTGTAGCAGCTGGCTCGTCATGCTAAGGGGGCTGGACTTGAACTTCAGGCAGTAGAGAGTCACTGAAAGGTTTTAAGTGTGTGTTTGGGGGGCTGCTGACATGGCCTTCAAAAATCCCTCTGGCCAAGGGGTAGAAAATGCACTGTGGGGGGCAAGTGAGACGTCAAGGTGCCAATGAGGAGCTTTTGCAGTAATTGAGCGAGAATTAATACTGGCTCAGACCAAAGGGGGTTCAAACCAAGATGGAGAAGATGAAGCAGATCGGAGCAGCATTAAAGCTGCCGGTGACGTTGGAGACACTTGGGGAAGAGAGGAGGACACATCGGTCACGGCCGAGGACGGGGGGGGGGGGGGGGGGGGAGGGGGGGGCGCCATGGGCTGTGGGAGGCGGGGGGCGGGGGGAGAAGGTTATGAATCTGGGCCTGCGGGTGTGGGACCTCCGGGGAGGGGGTCAGGAGGAGCTGCGTACAATCGGGTCAGCAGCAGGGCAGTATGTCTGTGGAAGTCACCGTAGCATATGTGACTTCCAAAGAGAAGGTATGAGAGCTGAGAGGACTGAATCCGGAGAAGACCAGCATGACAAAGGGAAGGAGGGCATTCACAAGGGGGTGAGCAGAGAGGTAGAAACCTAGGGGAGGGGGAGAGAGGTGTATATCATGGAAGACAGGAGGAAAAGCAGGGTTTCTAGAAGGATCATGGTGACCTCACCTTGCAGAAACTGCTGAGTAGTCACAGGCGTGTGGGTGTGACCATATAGGCCCGGAACCTGGGCCTCTGAGTGCAGGCTGCCCATGGGACACCCAGGCTGCCTCAGCCACCTCTCCACTCTCAAGCTCAGACCAGCAGAGGCCAGGCATGTCCACTGTTCAGTCCAGTACTGGAGGCCACTGGGACCCTCTGCTGGAACCATTTATGAGCTCTCAGGGGCAGGCCCACGCTCCAGGGTCTCCAGCACCTGCCTGATGCTGGATACAAGTTCACCAGGGGGAGAGTGGGAATGGGGGAGGCTGGGAGGCCTGGGTGCAGCACGAGGGGCCAGATTACAGTGGGCAGAGACTGCCTAGCTCACTCTCCTCTCTGGGTCTATGGAGGGCAAGCAGCGCCCTGGGTACCAACCCCTCCAGCTGCAGAGGGGAAGTGTTTGTGGGCCTAAAGATTGTGGGCAGGACCCCAGGACTAATGCCAAGCACAGATCCATTGGTGGGGTGATCTTGGGCCCCCTACCTAGGGGAGCTGGAACAGAAAGAGGCTGCAGACACTCAGGAGGGAGCAAGGGGCATTTGCTGAGAGACAGTGCCACCTGGTGGCAGGAGGCACTCACACCAGGCTTCTGCTCCTGGGCCTCTGGGGGTCTTTCATGCTGGGGCCCCTGTACAGGAAGCAGTGAGCCAGGCTTCTGCCACCTGGGCAGCACCGAAGCCTCTGACAGCAGCATGCCCCGTGGCATCAGCTGAGGTCGGCTCTGCCCGCGGAGAAGGCAGGTGGACTAGAATTTTAGCCGACAGCCGTTTGGCGCCACGGGGAGGGCAGAAAGGTAAGGTCCCGCTCTCTGGCTTGTCCCTGCACAGCAGGAGGGACTAGACTGGTTGCTGCTTGGCTGCCTGTGTGTGTGTGTGTTTGTGTGTGTTCGTGGTGTCCTGAGAAGTAACAGCATGCTGTGAAGCTCTTCCAGGCACAGCCACCCTCCCCTCTCCACCTCAGGTCCTGGAGTCCTTGGGCTTTCTGTAGCGCATGCCTTCCCGGGAGGCTCAGGTCAGAGTGACCGAGGTGGTGAGGGCCACCCGCAGGGCACCTGGCAGCAGAGAGCCACTCCCGCCACCAGCCTCCCCCGAGGTTCCCCCGTCCAGGCTCAGCACCAGGAGCAGCTTCCCGGAGAGAGAGGCGCTGAGCCCAGCCTGGAGTCTGGGGACGGCCCGCACTCAGAGGGGCCAGGCTCCGGGCCCATATGGTCACACCACACACCTCTGACTCACTCCTGACTGCTCGGCAGTTTCGAGCCAGGTGAGGTCACCGTGATCTCCTTAAGCGACTCGGCAGAGCTCACTTTATTCTCAATTGTTGGGTTAGCTGAGCGAGGTGAAGAGTTCTCATAAAAATACTTCTTTAAACTCCCCTTGTTACCAAAGAAATGTGCGGGTCACGATAAAGAATTAGCATTACAAAAACGTGTGACTTGGAAAGTGAAAGTTCCTTATATAGTTTTACCCTCTGACAAAATTTTCTATTAGCAGCCTAGTGTGTTTTCTAAAAAAAAAAAAAAAAAAAAAAAAAAGTCTGCATTGTTTTCAGAGAGAGGAAGGGAGAGGAAGAGAGAGACAGAAGCATCAATGATGAGAATCATTGATTGGCTGCCTCCTGCATCCCCCCTACTGGGGATCAGGTCCATAACTGGGGCAGGTGCCTTGACAGGAATCAAATCATGACCTCCTGGTTCATGGATTGATGCTCAACCACTGAGCCACACCGGCCAGGCCTGGTGTGTTTTATTTCAGCCTTTTTTTCTATACATGCATGGTGTCGGGGGAGAGATGGATGTGTTGTTTTCTATACTGACACAATTCTACAGCTCTTCTTGATTTTTCCAGTAAGAACACCCTACCAGAGGCATTCTTACCACCCTGCTCACATTCAGGCTCACTCAGTGAGCCAAGACCAGGGTGGGAAGCAGGTAAGGCCAAGGGACTCAGAAACGTGTGGGTTTCGGGTAGGTGTGGTTCCGCACGGGGACAGGGGCCTGTGCTGGAAACCCGTCAGCCTGGAAGAGGCGAGCGCTCCAGAAAGCATACCCCAGGAGGCAGGGCAGACTCCAGACCCAGGTCCCCTTCAGGGGAGGCGGTCCCTGGCAGGCTGCCCTGTGCGTGTGGCCCACGAGCGGCTAGGCGTCCTGGACGTTTCTGCTGAGCTGGGTGCACAGGTCAGCTCACACCCAGCGTCAGAGCTTGGAAGCTGGGCCCTGAGCCAGGCAGGGCCCTGTGACATCCGGGAGGACAAGGGCAAGTCCAAGAGCAGCCACCGTGCGCCAGCCCCTCAGCACGCGGCTCATGCAGCCCCTCGCATCGGACGTGCCACACTATTTCATGGCAAATAATTCAAACTAGTGCAACAAGGAAAAAAACATAACTGGGTGGAGGCGCTGGTGGGAGACTGGGCTACAGGGTCGCATAAAGCTTCCAGAAAGGAGGAGCCCGCAAGCGCCCAGCAGCCTCCTACTGCCCCCGGCAGACGGAGGCGAACCCAGCACCCAGTGAAGAATCGGCGGCAGGCCTGCACCCGAGCCCCTGGTAAGTGGCTGCCTGAGCCAGGGCAGGAACTGTGTCCTTGCCAGTTAAGAGGAAGCAACACAAAGAGTAACGATCTCCACTCCAATGACACTTATCAGGCACTTAGCACGCGCCTACTAGACAATATACTCAAATGCCACCCACTACCGTTATGAGGATTAGCTGATGGCACTCAAAAAAGAATTAACTCCGGGGGCACACAGAGACTGCCAGAGCCTTTGGGCCTCCCCTCTGGGCACAGCCAGGAACACACCAGCCACTGTGCAGGCCGCACCCAGGCCAGGCCCTAGCACACAAGGACAGTGTCACTCCCCCTGGCAGGGGGCTGGGTGGGCAGGGGTCAGGTTGAAGTTGAGGAATGCAGCAATCAGAGCGTCTGCAGTGACAGGGGCCCGTCTGCAGTGACCTCCACAGCTTGCCTCCCCCAGGCCTAGAAAGGGTCCTGGCAGGCTGGGACCAGGCAGGGCCCCCAGGGCTCCGTGGCTGGATGCGGCTCTGCCTGGGGCTCAGCTCTGTGGAGGGGAGGGAGCTGTGGCCCCTCCTGTCTTTCACGGACACACACACCCCCCCACCCCGGAAGGGCTGCAGCTGTGCTGTCACTGGGTGCCCTGGGAAGGGGTGGCCCCGGCTCGCTCACCCTGGTCGATGGAGTGCTGCGGCAGCTGGCTCAGCTGGCTGTTGACCACGCCCGCGTAGGTGCGCAGGAACTCCTCCTCGCTGGCCGTCAGCTGCAAGGGAGAGCGGCGGTGAGGGCGACCGTCGCTTCTGAGGGCACCTGCCAGGCCTGCTTGGTGCCCAAGAGGTGCCACCTCCTTTGCTCCCTGGAGGTTTGACTCCTCAGTTCCAGAGCAAGCCCTCCTGCCGCCCTGAAACATGGCCCACGGAGCCTGGCCACGCAGAGCAGACCGGAGGCTGGACTGGAGGGCAGCACAGGGCCACTGGGAAGCGCTGCCCTCTTCAGCCTGTGCCGTCAGTGCCCCTGGGCACCCCCTGGGAGAGAAGACTCACCCACCTCACCCAGAGGTGGGAGGATGCCCAGCAGCGCCCCTGGAACTGCACTCCCCAGACTCAGCGCCACCTGAACCGGCCACAGAGCCAAACCGCAGGCTCAGCATCCCCTCCCCGACCCCGGCGGCTGCAGGCGGGAGCGACAGCACTGCTCTGCCCACGGGCACTCACGTTGGATCCCATCTTCCTCAGCATGAGCAGCACCCGCACCTTCTGCTGGATGTACATCTCCTCCGGACTCTTCCCGGGAGCCCCCTCGCGGTTCATCCCCGGGCCAGCTCTGGGGACGGCTGCGGAGTGAGAAGCACGGGGGTCAGGACGAGACTGCCCAGAGAGGCAGGGAGCTTCGTGGGAGTGTCCGGCAGCCCACCTCGCTGCAGGGTCTTGTTTCCGAGTCCAGAGCAGGTGGCAAGTTGCCTGTTCTCCCGAGACCCCACTAGCGCCGCTGTGGGCAGAGCTCAGCCCAGGGAGACTGAGGTAGTCCAGACTCCTGGCCAGCTCTGCCTTCCGCCACAAGAGGGGGGCTACATGCCCCCACAGTGTCCGAGGCTTCAAAGCAAGCAACTCCCCTGGGAGCGGGAGGGTCACGGTCAGAGGCAGCTGGCTAGGCCTTCGCTGGAGGAGCTGTGGGATCAGCACCAGCCCCAAACCCCAAGGCCGCTCTCAGGCAAAGCCCCTGCCGGGATCAGAGGCCAGCTCCGGCCCTCGATGGGGACAGGCGGCTGGGGCTCTGGGCACCGGACCCAGGCTCACTGCCACCCTCACAGGCCCACCCCGCCTGTGCCAGGCAGCTCCTGCAGGCAGCAGCTGTGTCCAGGTGCAATGGGACCCGACCTGCAGGAAGATCCCAGGAGAGAAGTCCCGGGGTTTCCCTGGGGGAGGAGCCGGTGGAGAGGAAGCCAGGCTGGAGGGGTTGGATTACAGATCTGTAACTCCTGGATGAGTCAGAAATAACGCGGCAGCTGGCAGGGAGGAGCCCTGGCAGCCCAGTGCCAGGAGCTGCGCTCAGAGACCAGGGGAACTGGGCGGGCACAGAGCACTCCTTGCACCATCCACCCATCCCTCGGGTGGCCAGCCCTGGACCAGCAGACGCTCTCAGGCAGGGTGACCCCCTGGGGAGGCGGCTCTCTGTGCAAAGGGTGGCCTCAGCGATGTGCCAGCGCCTGCACACAGCTTCCCTGGACGTCCCCGTCACTGCTCGGTCCCCATAACCCAGCAGAGGCCCTGGCCCTAAAACCCACACCACAGGCCGAAGGCTGGCCAGCAGGGTTTATGCCCATGGTTCCCCTTCAGGGCCTTCCCTGCTGCACTGAAGCCCCAGGCTCCCAAGTCAACTGTCCACCCGCCTCCTCCCTCCCCCGGCACAGAAGAGGGTCTAACAACGGGCCCCTGGGAAAGAGCGGTAAGGCGCCTCAGGAATGGTCTCTGATGAGATGCAGCCCCCGCTCCCCCAAACCAGGTGTGCAGGGTGCAGTGGGCAACCCTAACTTCCCAGCACAGCTGAGCGGACAAGCTGGGTTCTGGGTTTACTTCTCACACTGACCCCTTCTCACTGCCTTCCACTTCCCCTCTCCCCCCAATGGTCTTTACAAAAAAGCCAGACAGATGACACCACTCCCCAACACCACGGCCTTTGCCAGAACCCCAGGAGGCCTGCACAGGCGGCCCGGCCCCTTCCTCCTCCTCCCCTTGCTGCTCTGCCTTCCTGGCCCCTCTGGTTCCAGAACATGCCAAGAAGCCTTTTCCCCGGCAGCCTTTGCACCGAGTGCCCCCTGGGTTCCTTTCGTCCTCCGTATCACTCCCAGCCTCCTTCCCAGTAAGCCTTTCCTGGCAGCACAGCCGAAGCAGGGTCTGCGCCCCGACCCCAGCCCTCACAGTCCTGTGGCCCTGGCTGTCCCAGTTTCTGAAAGCATGCTGGAGCACTTGCTTTTATCTCTTCCCACCTGGCTTCCCAGCTTCGCTCCCTGCCCTCCTGCACCCAGGACTGTGCCTGGAGGAGCTGGAGGAATACAGCCCAGTGGCTGGATGCAGCGGGGAGACCAGCCTGCGGTGTCCAAGCTTCCCCATCCCTCTAACGCCCACACTGATTAGGGCCAAATGTCATCGTGTTGAAAGAGGCCCGAGTACCAATCCAGCCTCAGAACCAGGCTGAGCTTTCCCCAAGGACTCTTATTCTTGAGCAGCTGGCGCGCTGCGGCCTGTGGTGTTCTCCGGGGACATCTGAAATGCTCCCAGTTCCTCCAAACTGGGAGTCAGGCTCCCAGGATTAAATCTCCAATCCGGTCCCGTGTCCCGGGTTTAATGTGGTCAGACTGCGCTCTCCTGGTGAAAGACAGCGTGGAAGACACGTGACTGGCCACTAGATGTCGCCACACACAAAAGAACCAGGGTTCCAGTGCCACAAGCCCTGTCCCCAAAGTCCCGGGCCCACCAGGCTCAAGCCCACACTCTGATCTGCCGCTGTGCTGATCTAGTGGTTTATCGGGGCCAGTTCCTCTGGATGCTGCACGTCCCAGGGGCTGGGGGTCCTGCTTCACAGCGTGGGAGCCCCCTCCTCACTGTCCCTTCCTGATAGCCACAGCCACGCTTCCTCAACAGAGATGCAGGCTCCGAGCCAACAGAAGTAAGTGTGTGTGTGTGTGTGTGTGTGTGTGTGTGTGTGTGAGAGAGAGAGAGAGAGAGAGAGAGAGAGAGAGAGAGAGAGAGAAAGAGGGAGAGGGAGGGAGGAAGAGAGGGGGGAATATTTTTCAGAATTTTGCTCTGTCCTACTCTCCGACCCCAGGCACCCATACCCCAGGTGTCCCATCATCTTCCACCCCTGTGGCCTGTCCCAAGGACCTCCCGCACTCATGCGGTGATTACTAAGTGGGGGCCTTACAGGGTGTCGGGTGCCTGAATCTGTCTTTGGGGCCAGGTTACTCCAGTCAGCACACTTCCCCAGCAGAGACTGGTTCTTACCTGCTTCTTTTTGCTTCGGGGGAAGAAGATTCCTGTTATTTCTAAAAATTACGATCTCCCAGGATCCTTCCAGTTCTTGTATGAGCTGATCCTGCCCTGCCTCCTGACAGAGGGCACACCCAGGGCTGGATCTGGGGCAGAAGGTGGCCAATGAGCACACATTTCCGCCCTTTACGCTCCCATCTAAGCAGCCTAGGCCTTCGCAACTGGTTCAAACAATTTCCAAACAGAATCTGCAGCACGATGTCAGTGAGAAGCAAATGAATAATTGAAGAGAGCAGGCCATAATCACCCAAACAACAGACATTGCAGTCGTTGGTAGGCTGCAAGATATTAAAGTATGTTTGGATTTGGTGCTGATCTACACAAACAGGCTGTTAGATTTTCATTGCAAATTTTGACAAACATCAGATTAGCTTCATTTAGAACTCCGATTCTCCCCTGTAGGGATCAAGAACTTGTCTCCCTTAAAATGCAGCTAATTTAGACACCACTTATTCATTCTGTGACTCAGCCATGAGGGTCCCATGTAATGGTGCTTCTCACTTATGGTTTCCCAGCTAGCCCATAATCCTCACCTAACATGGTAGGATTTCCATTCTAAATCCTAAGAAAATCTCTGTGAACTGCCCAGAGACAGACTTGCTCCCTCTCTCAGAGATATAACCTTCTGGAAGCTAACCAGGGAAGGCATAGATGAGCTGAAGAATAGAAAATGGAGATAAACAACTATCAACTACCCACATAAATAGCGAGGAAGCGGCCTGAGGCTATATATCAAACCGTAGATAAAAGTGGAGGTGATTCCAGAAAATTACATCTGATTGGGACAAACACAATGAGCAGAAACTGAGGCACACACATTCGCTGCAGACACACAGGCATATTCACGCCCCTTATCCCCTCCTCCCCAACACACACATTCACACACACACACACACACACACACACACACTCCTGTTGGTTCTGAGCCCGCATCTCCGTTGAAGGAAGGCTGGCTGGTAATGGACCATGAGGAAGGGCTCCCAGCCACAGGGAAGGATGCGAAGTGACAAGTGGGGCCGTGGTCTGGGAGGCCACACTGCGCTCGGGAGCCATCCTGCCCAGCCTCTGCAGGGAGCTAATCTCTGCCAGCACGATCAAGCACAAAGCAGCTGGTCTCTCTTTAGAGGAGGCGGGAGATGGTGCTGGGGGAAGGGGTGAGCGGGCTGCTGGGTGGTACGTGCAGCAGTCAGACCCATGCTGTCAACCTGCTCCGAAAGTCGGCTGCGCTCTGACAGGCACACGTGGCTCTGAATGCACACACAGCTGCCTGCACGCATTTGTATTTACAAAGTGAAGCTAATGCTGCGTGAACACCCACACTTATATATACTGAAATACACATTTATACCCGGGTGATCTTGTCCCTGCGAGGAGAACCCTGGGTAACTCAGGCTGGGCCAGACAGCAGGGGCTCCTTTAGATACACAAGCTGCCTCTGCTCCATGGGTCCCAGCACTTGTCTTTTGTCCATTAGAAAATGTGACATGTTAACCTGAGCTGGGATGGTGAACACACAATACAGCGAATGGACGATGAGTTGCAGAACTGTGCACCTGAAATCTGTGTAAATTTGTGTGTGTGTGTGTGTGTGTGTGTGTGTGTAATTTTGTTAACCAGTATCACCCCAATAGATTCAATAAAAAAAAATGAAAAATGACCCTACCTGGTTTGGCTCAGTGGATAGAGTGCTAGCCTTCTGACTGCAGGTTCCCTGATTTGATTCTAGGCAAGGGCACATGCATGGGTTGCAGGAGGGGGCATGCAGGAGGCAGCCGATCAATCATTCACTCTCATCATTGATGTTTCTATCCTCTCTCCCTCTCCCTTCCTCTATAAAATCAATAAAAATATATTTAAAAATTAAAAAGTGATATATTTTAAATGCTCACATTTGAAATGTACGTTACATTTGCATACAAATACATTACAATATAATTGTGCTATTCGTAGAGCTTCTATAAAACATCACTTCAGACACGACATGTTAACAGCCTGGGAGTAACGAGCAGAGCCGCACACACCGCAGGATCCACCCTCTAAGGAATGAGCATTATCAGGGACAGCGGGGAAGGGAGTGAGATGCCCTCACTTCGCAGTCAAGGGCGCTCCCAGCACTGATCTAAAGCCACATTCCCAGACCCCCTTCCCCGGTCCTTACCTGCTTCTGGAAATGAACTTCAGGCAAGCAGGCGCTCAGCTGTGCGGGGTGGCGGGCTGCGCAGGGAGAAGTAGGAAGGTGCGGCCCTGTGGAAACAGAACATGGT